CTCCCTGACCGAGGCAATAATGCCTCTCGGGGTCTCCATCTGAAAGTGGGGAGAGTCCACGAACCGATTGAAGGCACTTAGGTCTATAATCGGGCGCCAAGCTCCCGACTTCTTCTTCACCAGAAAAATTCGGGAATAGAAGCCTGGAGAGTACCGGCGCAGTGGGAGCTCCTCGACTGCACCCTTCTCGACTAGAGTAGCAATTTCCCGTCTGACAGCTAGAGCCTTCTCTAGATCCACCGGGGGTGGGAAAAAGATTGGCTTTGCTGTGAGCGGAGGTTCCCGTAACAACGGGATGCTCAATCCTTCCGCAACTATTGACAATGCCCAACTGTCCTGAGTAATCTCCTTCCATTGAGGAAGGAAGGCGGACAGTCGACCTCCTACTGGAAGGTCCGGTTGAGGAAGGCCAAGACCTTCCCAAACGTCTATGGGGCTGTCTACGACCGTTATGAGACCGGGTAAAAGAGACCTCTGATCTACTTGCCCGGACTGAAACGGAAGAGTTGTGGAAGGAGGGGAGAAGTCAGGAATACTGCTTCTTACCCCCAGAGGGTTTGGCACTCTGCTTGCCCTTACCCTTGGCTTTGGCCTTAAAGGTAGACTTAGCCTTAGCCGCAGACTGAGTCTGGCGAGGCCTCGACTTAGCCTTCTTCTTGGCCTGGCCCGAACCCCGAGGGGTTTCAGCCTTACCAGCAGTCGACACTTTTGAAACCAAAAGTGCCGAGGCTACTGGGTCCTCCTTAACTTCCTTCTGAATAGAAGGAAGGGCACCCCCAAAGAGCCAAGGACCCTCGAAGGGAGAGGACAAAAGCCTGGAAAGGTAAGGTTCCTCAATAGGCTTACCTTTAAGCACAGAGGCTCGCCTGGTAAGAACCAAATTGGCCAGCAGTGTACACTGCAAAGCTGCAGAGGCCTTCAGACAGTTGTGCAAGGATGAGGTCACCCTATCCTGCACAGCCCGTCTGTCACTCTCATCAACCTCCGACTCCCTGATGGGCACTTCCGATAAACGGAAAAGGGTAATCGTCAGTACCTGGAGAGAAAGCCGCAGGATTTTCTCCAGTTTGTGGTGTTCCTTGGCAGAGAACACCACCTGGTCAGTCGCCGGTCCTGGCCATTGCCGAAGCTCATGAGTTTCCAGCTTAGCTGGTTGACTCTCAAGTTTGGCGTTGTGAATGGCGTAGTCCGAGGATCTAACCTCAGACAAATCTGCCAAACTCAACTGCAGGCCAGCTGCACCAGATGCACGAGAGGACGAAGCAGCCTTCTCTGCCATCCTTGCATGGGCGACAGCCAACGCCGAGGAAACAACTGAACCCTCAGGCAAAGACTTGTCAGAACGAGCCAAAACCTTAGGCGGAACCAGCTGACTCAGCAGCGTTGTCGCCTCTGGAATGGCAGACGCCGAAGGAGGAGGACAAACCTTCTCCCCGAGGATTCTGGCCACGTCAGCGCGAAGCGCCTGCATGCCAGCCAGAGCACGATGGGCTTCAGCCTCAACCTCAGGCTCTACCTCTATCTCAGCCGACACCTCATCATCTTCAGATTCCGAAGAATCATAATCATGACGAGGAGAAGGAGGTTCGGACTGAATCACACTCCCAGGTGACAGGCTGAGGACGTCATCGTCCCTGTCCCCATTCTCCATTTCAGTACCCCTCCTGGAAGTAGTCACTGAAGTGTCTACTGTCGAGGGCAAGGTAGAGTTCTGGAGACTCTCTGAAAAAGTCCTCTTACGAGCTCTCTTCGGCTCCGAAGGGCCAATATGAGACTCTGAAGATCTACGAGAGGCGGGGATATTGGTCTTGGAGCGAGATGTCCTAAAAACCCGAATAGGTCTTTTAAACACAACCTCCTTCCCAGCCCCAGAGGTGGGTAGGAGCTGAGCATTCAGCGAGTCCCCAACCTGCTGAGGTGAGACCGGTCCCCAACCCTGATTAAATCCCGGAGGATAACCTGAGTTGTACCCAAATCCCTGAGGAAATGGGGCCCTAGGACCATAAGGAAAAGAGTGACCCCAGTACTGACCATACTGACCAGTGGGTACATGGGAAGGAACACCCTGACCAAAAGGAAAAGGTGAACCGCCACTCCCTCCCGGAGCGAAACTAGAAATGAAAGGCCTAGGGCCAGACATATGATCGGATTGCTGCTGGAAAGCACCAAAACCATGATGCACAGTACCCGAAGCATGAGGCCCAAAGGACTCATACCCGAGACCATGGGGTGTCGCCCGACTCTTGTCAGACTTGTCACGGGTTCCGTATGTTGCAAGCTGGCACGGAATCGACCCCGACAGGGTTGATACCGGATACCTGACCAGGAAAGAGAAGGGACCGTGAAGAGTCATGAGAGGTGGCAGTGCTGCTACACTCTGTGGGACCCAGATAATTCGAAGAAATACCACTCCCCATCGCAGCAGAGGACCCAAAAGGATTCTCATTCATGACTCTATCCCCACCAACAGACGCTCCAGGACTGACTAAATAGTCAGAGACTGGAGGCGGGCCCACCCTTCCCAGAGATGAACTAACACCAATGGAAGGAGGACCAACCTCCTTGGCAACAGGATAGCCAACACCTGTGTTCTCTAGGCTAGAGCCAGCCAAGGACTGGATAGTATTGGGACCCTGCAGGGCCTCTGCCAACGAGGTACATGCCAAAAGACTCTCCGTGGGGTCGTCGGTACTACCGGAGGAGGACCTAGCTTTGTCCTTCCTTTTACCCCGTTTGTAAGACTTGGAGGAGTCCTTCATGGTTCACAAACAAGATAAACAAACAATTCAGCCTTTATTTGTAAAATAAAATAATTTTAATTCACAAAAATCACCGTAAACGAAAACGAAAGTGAAAGTAAACACTCACGAAAACGAACGGGGACCAAAACACGTGGCAATGGTACCGACGTTTTACAACGAAATACGGTGAATAAAGGCAAAAAATATATATAAACAATAGCAGGGAAACTGGTATAATATATGAAGTATGAAAACAAACAATGACACAGGTTACCGCCCTCAGAAAACTTGAACGAAGTCCAGGGTAGAAATAACCGCCATGTGCTTCTTTCGAGTTGAAGAAAGAGGAAGTTGGAGGTGCGCGCGCATCCTACACCCGTATGTCCGGGTTGGACAGGGAGTAGTTTCGTATTTGCGCGGGGCATTTGAAACTTTACTTTGGGAGTTAAAGAACTGGTAGTTGGAGATCATTTGCATAATAATTGGACGTGGTAAGTATTGTTTTTGATATAAAATTATGGATTATGATGTGAAACAGCTAGTGTTGTCAATAACATTTGGAGTAAGACGGCTTTCAGAGGTATACACGGTGGGTCAAGTGGTAGATCGAAGCCGTCCAGTATACAGTTTTAGTGAAGTTTCTATTGATAGTAACAGTGACCTTGGCCTTTGACCTTCTAACCGGAAAAGCAATCCCAAGCAAGCACTTTTGGTAAGGAAGCACTGCATGAAGTTTGAGTTTGATCGGCCCAAGGAAACTCAAGTTATCGCACGGAAACCTGTTCGGACCACTGCATCGCCGACGATGCCGCCGACGCCGACGACGCCGACAAAGCAATACCAATGTGTCACCAGCTTTTCGCAGGTGACACAATAACCAATAGGCCCAGGGTACTGAAATTCGGCCTGTTGCATGCTTGGATGAAGGGCTACCAAGTTTGTTCAAATGAATGATCTTGACCCACTTTCAAGGTGACAGCGGTTAAATCTCTTAAATTTTCAAACAAACATCTTCTCAATTACCAAAAGGCCCAAGGTGCTGATATTGGACCTGTAGCATGCTTGGATAAAGGGCTACCAAGTTTGTTCAAATGAAAGACCTTGACCCACTTTCAAGGTCACATGGGGTTAAATGTCTTAAAATGTTCAAATAACTTCAAATACTGAAATGAACAAAGGGCAATAACTTTTGGAAAAAGTATCGAATCAAAATTCTTTTAAGGAAGACAACTTCATATAGTACATTTCACCTAATATCACGTCCGTTAATGTCACTTTTCGGTTATTATCATGTTTTTTTGATGCACCGTTTTTCCTGCTATATAATCTATGCAATTCAATTCTTTTATTATCACATGATTTTATGTCGATTTCTCTTAAAATCACTTTATTTTGGCCACAGTCACAAAAAATACAGGTAAATGGCGGTAAAGATTCATGATAAATGCCTCCGGGGACCTTCTGTCACACCTGGACACGTTATGTAAACAACGCCGCGCCATAATGGGGTATTTTTTACACCTGGCTGACTGTCAAACAATAGGTTACACCTGGCTGACTGTTAAACAATAGGTTGACCTTACATACTTGTTAACAGGATATTCACCTGTGGTTGGGGGAGCCAGGACAGTCTTACATCTGTAAAATTTTCTAATGCCAATTGTGATGTTATCTTTCAACTAACTAACAGGTGTACTGTAGGTACTATCTTCCATTACAGCTCGTCTCCAGATTGAATTTACGTTGTCGTGAAGAAGGCATACAAGTGGATGGTCTTCCATAAAATATGACGAATGTTGATTGATATTAAAATAAAGAGTGTCTTTCAAACAATAAGTTTCTTAAATTATTTAAGTTTGACCAAGGTTCACGTACAATATGAAAACATCGTCTTTGTTTTTAATCTCAAATAACCCACGTACGACGCCGACATGGTGTTGTCATAATTCTAACTTATGCTGCTGGTGTAAAATCGTGATCTGCGAGAATTTATTCATTGCAAAATTATGACCTATGTTTAATTACACTTTCCAAATGTCGATGCAATAAACAGATTACCTTTTGTGTTATCATTTATTGTTCATGTATCATGATTATAATGTATACCAAGTTTCGAAGAGATCGGTCGAAAAATGTAGGAGGAGATTGCAGGACAAACAAAAGTTTGCGCCGGACGGACGGACGCCATACCATAATACTCCCGTCAAATTTGACGTGCGTATAAAAACAGTCAAAATAAAACAGAATAATAACAAGTTATTACTACTCCAAATGACACACTTTATTGAGAAACATAAAAATTTGACAAACTCGTGGTTGTCTGCCCCTTTTCTAGGGTTCACATATAGGTTGACAACCTCGTGGTTGTCTGTCCCTTTTCTAGGGTTCACATATGATATGAAATATTGCACATCCCTCCCCTAAAAGTTCTATCTTGCAACTTGGCATTTCACAACTTTCTTCACTATGTATTTATATGTCCAAGCTTTAGATTGCACTAGCAGCAGCCCTTTACTATTTAGCATAAAAGTAACATGAACAGCTCAGACTGATTTGTTAATTAGCATTGTATCAGACCTGTCCACTGCTTTGTTAATTAGCATTGTATCAGACCTGTCCACTGATTTGTTAATTAGCATTGTATCAGACCTGTCCACTGATTTGTTAATTAGTGTTCTATCAGACCTGTCCACTGATTTGTTAATTAGCATTGTATCAGACCTGTCCACTGATTTGTTAATTAGCATTCTATTAGACCTGTCCACTGATTTGTTAATTAGTGTTCTATCAGACCTGTCCACTGCTTTGTTAATTAGCATTGTATCAGACCTGTCCACTGATTTGTTAATTAGCATTCTATTAGACCTGTC